ACACAATCATCGAACTTCATTTACAAGTAGTCGTTGAACTTCACATATTACACAATCATTGAACTCCTCATAATATACACATTCATTGAACTTATCAACTAACACATCATAGAACTTCATAAAAACACAATTTCATGGCACTTTTCACATAACAAGTCATTGAATTCCACTTAGCAAAAAATCATTGAACTTCATTAACAATTTACATTATTGAACTCTAAAGAAAACATGTCATTAATGCTCTATTTGGTTGGAAAGAAAATATGGGAGGAAAGAAAACATGGAGGGAAAGAAAGAGAGAAAATAGATTTTTCTCTATTTGGATAGGGAAGAAAAAATGAGAGGAAAGAAAAAGTGAGAAGAAAATAGGGTGTGAGACCCACTATTTTTTCCTTCCAACTTTTCTTTCCAAAAGTGGAGAGATTTTAGGAGTAAAACTTTTTTTTCACCATCTACCCTCTCTCTCTCTCTTATTTATTTCGTGCTCTAACTCTCAAGAGACTACTAAATTACATTGATTTAATTTTAATTAAACAGTTTGGTTTGTAATTTTTAACTTTTATGGTTATTAATTACATTAATTTAACTAATTAATTAAATAATTTAACCATTGGCTAGATCAAGTGTCCAAAATTACATTAAGTTAATTTTAGTTATTTGATTTTAAAATATAATATAAAAATACATTTTTAACAAATAATTTGATTTTAAATTAATTTGATTATGTTAATTTTAATATAATTTCTGCTTTCAATTTATTTTCACAAATATAATTACATGAAACATAATATATTTTGATATAAGGGCATTATAGTAATTATGATATCTGTTTATTTTCTTTCCTCTCTATTTTCTCCTGTCTATTCAAATAGGAGAAGTGATAATATTTTCTTTTCAGTTTTCTCTTCTCTCTATTTTCTTTCTTCTCAACTTTTTTTTCCATCCAAATAGAGGGTAAACTTCATAAGACCATCATAGTATATTTTCAAGAAAATCATGCCATAATTGCATTTTATTCAATTTCACACATTTTAATTATCAAATATAACTTAATAAATCAATTAACACATAAAAGCACAAGAAAGAATTTTTCTAGTTATTTCAAACCTTTGAAAGGTCAAAGGTTTCATCCCTCAAATACCCAATCCCAAAGCTTCCAAACTTGAATAGTGCTAAATATGTTTACTCTATAATTAATCACAATATAATTTATTAATATCTCTTTTTAGATAATTTTTACTATTAACTTAACCACTTCTTCACTCCTAAGATTCGTTCTCTTCTCATTTAAGAGTACTCATGCGGTTTCTTATCTTCCTTTAACTTACATTAACTTCATTGAACACTTATATAGCCATTAATAGAGCCACATTGTCTTAACTATCATATTTATGGTGGAATTTTTCTTTCATCTATGACCTTTAACAACCAAAAACGTAGAAAGCCATAATTGCTAGGTTTCATTAGCTTAATCAAGCCCCATTAGCTCTATTTAAGTTAATGAGTTCAGACCTATAGCCTTTATGGATTGAAAATTATCATTCTCAACCAAATCCTAGCTTTCAACATTAAGAAAATGGAAAATGAAGGTAGAAATGAGCTTAAAAACCTAACCTTAAATGTTGTCTAGCTCTAATATGTTTCCAAACCTTCAAGGAAGTATGCCCTAGCAAAGAAATTGTGCCTCTCATTTTCTCCTCTACCTTTCCTCTAATCTCTCGAAGAAACTATAATTGTCTTATGCAGAAATTTGGCCATGTGTCATGGTGCATGGCACAAAGAAGTCCTGCCTAGGCACATCAGCCCACATGCACTGTGGTGGATCATCCACAAGCCACAACGTGTGGCACAAAACCTTACCCTTCATATTTTCTTTCTCTTTCATGTTTGGATGTCCTGACTTCACTTTGAACCTGTATCTAAGGCTGAAATTACAATCAAACATGCCCATTAGACTTCTCTGACCACACCTTACTAATAAACTTAATTACTCTAATTAGGCTTAATTAATCAAGTTTAAATCTTGAGGATGTTACAAGCATGGTGTAGGAATTCCTGAGCATGGAATCAGTCAGCTTCATCCACCAAACATGGAGCCTATGTAGAAGATACATGAAAGCATCCATCACCAATTTGATCAATTTAGTTTCACTGCTAAAAATTTACCTTTGTCATTGCTAGAGGTATACTTTTAGTGGTGACTATGTTTGTCGTTGCTAAAAAACCATTAACGACCAAACTTTTAGTGGCAATCTTTTGATGATGAAAAGTTGTTACTAAAAACCTTTAACCACAAGTTTTAGACTTTTGGTGGCGATATTTTGTCATTGCTAAAAGTCATTTTTTTTGTAGTGAAATGGTGTACAATCTTCTAGAATTACAAAGCAACACAACAACAACTATTGGGAACAACAAGAAGGAACAAAGACATTAGGGCATTCACAATGTTACTTTGATTTACTTCTAAGATGAATTTTAGTTTATTTGTATTATTTTTAATTACAAGAAAGACACTACAAAAAATGTCTTTTGGCGGGACTAAGTGTACTTGTAATAGTGACAAAAGAACATTAAGTAGTAGCTAAAAGTTTGTATGGTCCTTTTAGTGGCAAAAACATGTCACCACCATAAGGGCATTATTTTTTGTCTTGACCTCTGATGTTGCTAACAAAAGTTTTATCATTAGTGGCGGCGATCAATTTGGCAAAGCTACAAAAGGTCAACTTTTGATTATGATAATAATTTGTTACAGCCAAAACTTGTTAGCCACACAAATTGTGGCAGCAAACTTTTATTGCTAAAGACTTTTAACAGCAAACTTTTGATAGCACCACCAAAAACCTTTCTTTTTGTCCACTTATAATGGAACCTTTGGCTCTTTAATGGGATTTCAATTATTCAAGATTATTAACCTTTAAAATTTTCCTTCTCATGCAATGCAAGTGTACAAATTGTTACTTGTCTGATGCTAGGAAATTGAATAAGAAAATGACGATTTATCGAAGATTTTTTTTATTACTTTTTTGTACAGATTTTCCACAAAAATTGCAGTTATGGATGAGAAAAAAGTGCAGAATATATTTGTCTACCTCATTGGTCGCTTGATTGCGTGCGAGGAATGGGACATTATGATTACCACTTGCGTCTTAATTAGTATTTGTGCATTACGGGATCTGGTAATCTAGTTTTTCTTTTTTTTTTTTTTTTAAATAAAGACACGCCACTATATGTAATCTGACAATGTTCACACTTCTTTTTGACATTTTCGACTTTGCCCTTTGCGTGTTCACACTTATTATAAAAGTTAACTTTAGGTATTAGATAACTCTTTGCCTCTTTTCTATAATTTTTTAAGTTTATTTTTTTTTGTTATTTTTTATCCGACAATGTTCACACTTCTTTTTGACATTTTCGACTTTGCCCTTTGCGTGTTCACACTTATTATAAAAGTTAACTTTAGGTATTAGATAACTCTTTGCCTCTTTTCTATAATTTTTTAAGTTTATTTTTTTTTTGTTATTTTTTATCCGACAATGTTCACACTTCTTTTTGACATTTTCGACTTTGCCCTTTGCGTGTTCACACTTATTATAAAAAAATTAACTTTAGTTGTTAGATAATTCTTAGGCTCTTTTTTATAATTTTTTAAGTTTATTTTTTTGTAATTTTTTATCAACTAATAATCAATGTTAACTTTTATTAATGATAAGAGTCAAATTGTATCATTTTTAAAACTTGAGAGAATAATTTATACAATAAATGAGTTTAAGATTTATGATGTTACTGGACTTAAAATTCATGAAGTAATTTGCTTATTTACCCTCATAATTATTCAGAAATTAATTTTAATAATAGCCTGAACAATCTGAAATTACATTTTGGTACATTAAAGAAAAATAAATACCTATAGGTAGATATGTTAAAATCGAAAGTGTTTGGTTAACTAAGGATCTAATATGTTGGTTTAAAAAAAAACTATGGATCTAATATATTGCTTTTATCTTTTTTGGTGCTTGTAACTTTTTATTGAATATTACTGGAGATGATTTCTAGAGTTATCAACAGGTCAAGCTCATTTTGTTGGTCTTTTTAAGTTTGAAAATATTCGAGGTTTGGCCACTACTTTAAGATATAAAATGATAATTTAGAGTTAAAAGGGTTGGCCTTTTTAAATCCAAAAATAAAAAAGCCATCCCTTATATATATATTTTAAATTTTAACATGAAAAAAAAATACTACATACAACCGTACAGTGAAAGAAAGCCTCAGCCTCATTTGGTCATTCTTATTCCTTCTCCCTCATCCATTGATCGATCAACACATCTAGCCATCCTTCTTTCCTTCGTCCCTCATCCATCAAGACTTAATTGATGATGTTAGCAAAGTTTAATTGTTATCATGGTTGATTTTACGATGTTGCTATTTTTTATTACATTGAAATTTATTGTTGAGTGGATTAACTTAAATTGATTTTTTTACAATTAATGTTATGTATAATAATTTTTTTAAAAATAAAAAAAAAGGCGACTACCTTCAAGTCTGGGTTGTACAAAATAAAACTCTAAAATATAGTCAGGCTTAAAAAGTCTTATTCACCAATATTACGTAAAGAAGTAAGTCACACTATACATCCACTATCAAATCTCTTTTTATAAAATATTTAGGTTATTTAAAAATTATTTATTTTTTAATGTTGAATAAACTGATCCTAAATATAGAGAGAAGCAAAAACGAAACGCTCAATCGCAACAACCACCCTTGTTGACCCAAGTCAACTTATTATTTTTATTAGTACATCTGTCAAAAGACAGATTCCCTACAATTTACAATTCAACTCAATATTTTTTTCTCTTTTAAACTAGTAATTCACCTCCTCCATTTTCCCAATTACGGTGATAACAAATTCAAAATGAAAAGAAATGAAAACTTCTTATTAATTTATCAGTGCGCTTTCTCAAAAGCCAGTTTCCACCCACCTTCCATGGCCTATTACTCATAGGTCTAGCGCCGACTTTCGTTGACCCAAGTTAGATATAGACGCACAAGCTTTAATCATGCTGAGAATCAAGCATTCTTCTACATTGCTCTTGCCCTCATTTTTCTGAGAATACTCACAAATTAAAGCCTTTCAATGGATGCTAGTTCTAATGCTGCACGTTCTTACTCTTCATTGAACTCGAAAATCCCCCCATGGAAGTATCATGTTTTCTTGAGTTTCAGAGGAGATGACACCCGAAAAGGCTTCACAGCCCATTTACATGCCGCTCTTCAACAAAGAGGTATCATGACTTTCATAGATGACGAGCTTCAGAGAGGAGATGTTATTTCTATTCAACTCATTCGAGCAATTGAAGATTCTCTCATCTCTCTTGTTATTTTTTCCCAAAATTATGCTTATTCAAGTTGGTGTTTGGATGAACTCCAAAAGATTCTTGAGTCTACAAGATCTTTAAATAGAGAAGTTATCCCAGTGTTCTATAATGTTGATCCCTCTGATGTACGACATCAAAAAGGAGCCTTTGCTGATGCCTTTCAAAAACACAGTGAAAGATTTCATGATGATGAAGAGAAGGTGCAGAGATGGAGAGATTCCTTGAGAGAAGTTGCAAATATTTCTGGCCACCACTCTAAGGATCAGTAAGTTTCATTTATTTTAGTTTATGAACTCCAATTTGAGATCTATATGAAACTCAAGCGACAACAATGCGAGTTAATTAGGAATAATTGCTTTAGTTGACCTTCAAATTTGATCATAAATTGCATGAAATTCTTCTTGTTTCATAGAATCATCTACCTGAATTACACATGCGCCTCATCCAACTTAATTACTACTTGTAGATAAAGTTAATGTCAGAAAATTTTGTTTCTGAGAAGAATGTGGACTGAGCATAAATTTAAATTCACTAAAAAACTAAATTTCAATAATTAGTTTATATCTTTAAAAAACATTGTCAATTTATTCAAGGCCAAAGTGTACATTTAATCATTTAATTTTATACAAAATTTTATTTTGATACCTTAATTTTATAAAGTGTCTTTTTAATCCGTTAGTTTCATCAATAAGAACTTTTTATATTAACTTTTAAATATTAATAAAACATTCTCAAATATTAACATATTATATTTAATTTCTTAAAAAAAACAATAAATAACATGAAAAATAATTATTTGAAACAAACAATATTATGGTTAAAGGACATAAAATATACTTTATAAAATTAAGGGACTAAATTGAAATCTTTTATAAAATTAAAGGATCAAGGTACACTTTAGCTTTAATTTAATTAAGCCTCAACAGAGATTAGTATAATAAACTCTGTTTATTATAGCTGTGCGTAGTTTAATATGCAAAACACAATCTAATATCCGGTAGCTTTAAATAATTTTGTCTCTTCCAATCTCTTTGTGATGAAAAAATTTTGAGTGATTCTTTTCAAATTAAAGAATTAATAAATTTAATAAATGATTACATAAAAAATGAATAGTGTATAACGTACCACAAAAACTTCTAGCCTTCTAAGTAGATAATTTTTTTTTTGTTTTTGCCCAAAGATGTAAAACAATCTTAAACGAGAAATATTGTGTATGCATGTTTGTCTCTCCTTAAAAGGGCTGTATTTATTATTATTTTTGGTTTTGCCAGAAGCATTAGCTTTTTCTAATAAATCTTCTCAATAGGCTGGAAACAAAATTGATTGAAGAAATTGTCAGAGTTGTATGGACAAAACTACAGCCTCACATGTCATATTGCTACAAAACTGAATTTGTTGGAGTGGAGTCAAGGATTGAAGAAGCGAATGCAATTTTAAAGATCGGATTGAATGATGTTCGCTTTTTAGGAATTTGGGGTATGGGCGGTATTGGCAAGACATCTCTTGCAAGAGCTATCTATGAGATAAACTGCAATCATTTTGATCTTCATTACTTTTTTACTAATGTTAGGGATGTTTGCACAAAGGAAGGACCGGTTTCACTGCAAAGAAAATTTCTTTCACGTTATGGGAAGTTGAAAAGTATAGACATTGATGATGCATATGAAGGGATGAAGATCATGAGAAACATTCTTTGCACTCAAAAAGTGTTGTTGGTACTTGATGATGTCAGTGAAATTAGTCAACTTAAAGACCTTGCAGTGAAGCTAGCTTGGTTGGGTACAGGAAGTAGAGTAATAGTCACAACAAGGGATAGACATGTATTGATAGCACAAGGAGAATTTGAAATATATGAGGCAAAATTATTGAACCATAAGCAATCTCTTCAACTCTTTTGCCAATGGGCTTTTAAAAGTGATAAACCAACTGAGGAATATTTGGATTTGTCTAGAAGTGTGGTTAAACACGCTGCAGGGCTTCCTTTGACACTTAAAGTGTTGGGTAGTCAACTTTGTGGAACAAATATAGTAGAGTGGAAAGATACTTTGGAGAAAATAAAAAAAGTTCCACCGGGTGATGTTATAAATATACTTAGAGTAAGTTATGAAGCATTAGATGATATGGAGAAACAAATTTTCTTAGATATTGCATGTTTCTTCAAAGGAATGCATAAAGATGAAGTGATGCAAATATTAGAAATTTGTGATTTTCATCCAACAATTGGAATCAAAAGACTTGTTGAGAAATGTATGTTGGTAATTGAAAATCATCATGGACATGATATAGTGGGTATGCATGATATGTTACAAAAAATGGGGGAAAATATTATTTTGAAGGAATCACTAAAAGATGTTGGAAGACGTAGTAGGTTGTGGAAAACAGAGGACATTACTCATGTATTGACAAAAAATAAAGTAAGTTCCCACCATTCATGATACATTACTATTTTTAGATTTTGTGTTTTAGAATTATTATTCATTAAGTTATTCTTGAATTAGAAATAATAGTATGATTATTGTTACTTGTTAGGGCACTGATTTAATTGAGGTCATGTGTCTTCACCCCCCTATGCAATATGAAGAAAGTTGGATTCCTGAATCATTCTCAATGATGTGCAATCTTAGAATACTAATTATCAAATCATGTGATGTGTTCCTCCCCAGGGGACTTGAACATTTTCCTAGCTCATTGAAAATTCTTGAATGGGAGAAATATCCATTAAAATCCCTCCCACATGGTGTTCATCCACATGAACTTGTTCAAATAAAAATGCATCACAGTAAAATCACAAAACTTTGGCATCAAACCCAGGTATGAACCTTTCCTTTACCATATCAATCAATATTGTTATTTCTATATATATACATATATTTGCAAAATCTAATATTTTATATTCCTTGTTTGAACTAGATGTCAAAGAGGATAAAGATCATCGATTTGAGCCATTCTGAATATTTAATTCAAACTCCTGATTTTTCATTGCTACCAAATTTGGAGCAACTAGTTCTTAAAGGCTGCATGAAACTTGTTGAGGTGCATCCATCACTTGGACATCATAAGAAAATCATTTTAGTGAATTTGGAAGGTTGTAAAAATCTTAAAGCTCTTCCTTCTAAGCTGGAAATGGATTCTATAAAAGAATTGGTTCTCTCTGGTTGCTCCAATTTTAAAAAACTTCCTGAGTTTGGAGAAAACATGAAATACTTGTCAATACTGAAGTTGCAAGATTGCAAGAATTTATTGTGTCTTCCACGTACTATTGTTAACCTGAAATCTCTCAAAACTCTTAATATATCTGGTTGCTCAAAATTTACATCATTGTCGAAAAATTTGAATGAAATTGAGAGTATAGAGGATCTTAATGTGAGTGAATCTTCTCTAAAAGAAATACCATCATCCATTGTTGGTTTAAAAAGCTTGAAGAAACTAAATGCAGAGGGATGCAATGGAATTGCACTAGATTCTGTATGGAGCACACTTTTTCCAATTTTAAGGGTCCTTGGGTTCAATAATTGTAAAGCTCCTATGAGGTTGACATTGCCTCCTTCTATCTCTAGCTTATCCTCATTGACAGAATTAAGGTTAAGAAATTGCAATCTAAGTGTTGGATCAATTCCAAATGATCTTTGCTGTTTACCATCTTTGGAGATTCTTGATCTTAGTAGAAATGATTTTAGCAACCTACCTTCTGGAAGTTGCGTTCTTCCTCCTTCATTCTCAACCTTATCCCGCTTGAGAAAATTGAATTTGCAATATTGTAATCTTTGTGATGGTTCAATTCCTGAAGATCTTAGTCCTTTGTCATCCTTAGAAGTTTTAATTCTACGAGGAAACAATTTTACTAACCTACCAATTGCTTTCATCTCTAATCTCCCAGCTCTACAAGGTCTTTTGTTGGGTCATTGCAATAGGCTCTTATCACTACCAAATGTTCCTCCCAATATTCAACATATTAGTGCACCTTATTGTCATCCCTCAATGAGAATCTTATCATTTCCTCAAGTGCTATGGAGATATCTTTTATCATCTTATAACTATGATTTGGTACCAAATTATAGAAGGCCTTTCATTCTTGTTCCTGGGATTGAAATTCCACCATGGTTCCATAATCAAGACTTTGATTTTCTTGACAACCAAAAAAGTTGTGTCTCAATAAAAGTAGACACTTCTCATTTTTGTGGTTCAATTAAAGCTATAGAATATTTTTTTGTTTTGTGATACAAGATATGGCACCAGAAAGGCGTATGAACCTGAAAGGTATCTTCAGAGTTGATTACGGAAGTGTTTGTTGGTGGCTAGAAGATTGGGAAGCCAAGGACTCTCATCTATTTATTTCCATCGTGCCGCCCTCTTATGTGAAGAATGCTTGCAATAACCAAGTTGAGATAAAAGTTCAAACAACTTGGAGATTGTCATTGCATGATGATGATCCTCATAGAATAAAAAGAGTAGAGTTAATAAGGAAGTGTGGGTGGCGTGTAGCAAGAAAGGAAGAAATTGAAGAGTGCATGCAACACCAAATGCCATAAAGATGTGGCAGGAGATATTATTGGTAACTCAACATCTTCCTTTATCTTTCTTATCGTTTCTTTTCAAATTGAAATATTGTTCTCTATATAGTTTAACTTATGCTAATTACAAAAATACTAGTTAGATACTCCCTCCATTTAAAAATATAAAACATTTTTAATTGAATCTCAGCCTCAATAAAATAGTTACTTATCTTTGAATTAATTTTGTTCATATTTATTCCTATTTAATAAAATATTTCACCTTAAAAAATATAAAATAATCTATTTAATAGAGGCACTTTTTTTAAAAAAAGAAGTAATCATTACACATTAAAAAATTTAAAATGTCTTACATCTTTTAACATCTAAACTCTTAAAAAATATCTTATACTTTTTAACGAATGGAGTATGTGTATAAATATTTAACCAGTGATGCATGGACCTAGAAAAATTTATTAATGGGCCAACATTGATACCAAACATAAACATTAATAGTTTTTTTAAATATTAATTAAATAAATATACAAATAAATTATATGAGAAATTTAAAAATATATATTAATTTCATTTCCATCATAAATTTATTTTTACAATAAATAAAAGATAAACAATATTTTCAAATAACTGAAAGTGTATATTTGGTCATTTAACTATATATAAATATTTATTTTTATTCCTTAATTTTATAAATTATTTTTCAATCACGTAACACTAATATTGTTAGTTTTAAATAATTATATTTTGTGTTAATCATTTTTATTAAAAAAATAAATTTAATATGTAACATTTGAAAATATTTTATTAATATTTAAAAGTTTAATATAAATTTTTTTTATTAATGAAAGGTAAAATTAAAGAATTGAAAAGAATTTTGTAAAATTAAGGGACTAAAATAAAGTTATGAATAAAGTTAAAGAATTAAAAATAAACTTAACATTTTCAATGTGTATGTTTGATTAATTTTAAACAGCACTGTGAGACAATTTATTTTTTGTGGAGACAACTTAAAAGGGGGCAAGTGTAATTTTAACATAAACATAAGTGAAATTTTTACTTATTTAATGGAGGCAGTTGCCCCTCTATTGTGAACGTAGGTACGTCCCTGTATTTAACAATACTTTTATTTACTTGTCTTTGAAGTCTAAAACCAATACAGTCAACACTCAACACACAACATTTCATTAGCTTCGCACTACTTCCTTTTGAAGATGCCACTCCCCCCCCCCCCCCTTATTTTCATATAACTTAAGAAGATGCTACTTTTGCAGTTGCTTCTTAATTTCTTTACGTAAATGTATTATTAAATAATTTTGTATTTATAAATCACTACAAAAAATGTTATTTAGAAATACTCAATAATCTACCTTCAACTAGTAAAAAAAATCCATCTCTAAACAAATAGAGACAGATTTAGAGACAAATATTACGGTGTCTCAAAAAAAGGCATCACTAAATAATTAGAAACAAGGTTTTTTTAAGCCGTCACTTATTAGAGGCAGATTTATTCTGTCTCTAAATAAAAAATGTCATCTCTAATTTTCATGAAACATCCATTACTATAAAATACTCTAAAAATTATATAAAATGATAGAGACAAAATAAAATAGTCTCTAAATCATCTCTAAAAAATGAAAACTTAATTCTTTAGGTTTCCATTGCCATGTCAGTGTAAATCAGCCAATGCCATGTCAGTTGACATCTCATCGGCCATGCATGCATCTACACATGCCAACTATCACATCCTAACAATGAGGCATGATTGGCATAGGATATATGCACAAACACATATACTTAAGCCTTGAAAAAAAAAATCTAATTTAACATCTTAATTCATTTGAAATATGATTGAAAATCATGGTAACATTTTCCATACAAAAAAAATTTCTAAATTTTTAAAATTTTGTTGTAAAAATTTTGGTAAAACTTTCTTTGTAAATAAGACCTTTTAAATCTCTACAACAATCATTTACAGACAAATAATTAATATGGAGCTTTGCTCCTCGACAACAAACAATCAATATAAATTTGCAAACCAAAATCACATCTATAATTAAAGTGGAGCAACTAAATTATAATCTCAAAATAAAGCATATAATTGAATATATACATCAAAAGAAAATGCATGCTCAGAATAAATATTCACCCAGCTCAGTGGCAAGCCTTTCAATAATCAGTAGGAGATTCAACATCAGCTAATAAATTTGAGACCAAAACATTTTTCAATAAATAACATCCCTCAAAAATAGAATTTAAAAGAGTAAAAATAATAAACTCAAACAATTATGTAAAATAATTGAAAAGATGATAATTTAATATAATAAAACTAACAAACCTGCGAATCTTAATCATAACCATAAAATCAAAGTACATTAGAATTACTTTATTCAATCATGCTTGAAAAAAAATAAATTATTCAAATGTAAATCAAAGTAATACACTTACTAATTGAAATAATTAAAACTTCAAGTACACCAAATAATTAAAACTTTAGAACTTTGAGGACTTAACAAAACACGTAACAAACGTGGACAAATAGTTTATAAAAGTAAATAATCAAACGTGGCTTATGTCATGAAGAAAAACATGGACACATAATCCACAAGGATAAATAACCAAACACAGCCTAAGTTACAAAAAAAACGTAGATACATAATCCACGAGGATAATACTAACCAAATGCAGCTCGAAGCCACAAAAACAAATGCAGATGTTAAACCCACAGATATCAAACATGAGAACAAAGCCCGCGAAAATTAAACTAACTAGTCATTAACTATAGTGTGTTATGGGTTAACGAAACTGCTATTAGCAACAGTGTTCTGTTTAGAGTTCTCTTAAAAAACGCATTTCAAACATGCGAAAAAAATATTCATTTCTAACATAAAATTTTCATTCTTAATGCCAAACTTACATGAATTGTTTCAGATCTCAAAACTTGTCAAAATAGTATTTCATAGCTAATGTACAAACTTGCATTAATTAACCAAGAAATGCCAGAGTTCAATAAACAAAGATGTCTTCATCAATCTTAAAAGTATATTTCTTAACAAAAAGGACATGCAAGTATCATAATTTAATTATCCTTCATCATTATTCTATAATTTCCAAAACAAAAATTATTTAATTAACAAAGTACTCAATAATCATCACAGTTGTTAAAAAATAATTTATATAAAAATGTAATATTTTCAATAATAGACTACTTTTATTGGTAAAATAATGAGGGTACTATTTACTTACTTGTAGAGTTCTCAAACGTAAAACTTACTTTCAAACCAATCTTTTAATAACCATGCTTGGCCTTAAAATTCCTAATATTTAAATAATAACATTGTCACTTCCTCAAGCGTGTTTTACCATCCAAAATCTTTAATCTAAACAAGTTAGAGAAATAATTAAAAGAAAACCTTCTCTTTTATCTTTCAACATTGCAATAAGCATCTCAAGATTATACCAATAATGAATATATAAGTAGCAATTTGATTTTTAGATTACCAACTCAAACATCTTTTCCAAAAATCTCTAATTTTTATGTTAACTTTCATTGCAAAGCATGAATGCCTTCCATAATTGTTTAATCAATGAATGCCTTCCATAGTTGTTTAATCAATGATAATGACATACATATCAAACACTTTTACGCATAATGTTTACATCATAAATCCAAGTTCTTTTCCTCTTCAATTTTTTTTTCAAGGTTGTTCTATATCCATATTGAAACCAATCAAACTTCCCAACTTTTATTAAAGAAAATTGTAGTCTAATAGTTATCTTGTCAACAACAATATAATCATCACACACCCTACCCTCATATGCCAAATTCTCCTTACGCATTTTATCGAACACCTACAAAGCACTTATCTTTAAACTAATATCAAGCTTCTCCCTCGTCAAGTCCATTTCCAAAAATTTCCCAACATCAATATCAATATTTGTATTAAATCAAGCAACCCAAATTCCATTCCTTCAACGAAACCTCTTTCTTCTTGTTTTTTCTTTTAAGCTTAGAAGAAACACCTCTTCCACAGTCTATCTTCATTGACAATAACTCAAAACAAATATAACAAGATTATCTGATGAGAATATCCTCTTAGGCTTTAAATTTCAGCTTTCCCAAATCCCTATTTCTAATCCCACGCATAGCAGGTAACATAGAAAGAATTGAAATTCTTGCCACTTAAAACCTATTGCACATACAGAGTCAATGAAGAGAAGTCTTGGAAACTCTTGCCTTAAATCAGTGACAGTAGAAACGAGAAGAAGGAAAGAGAGATGCTGGCTGCATAAAAAGGAAGAGGAAAAAGATCCTCATGCGTCCACAATCACCACACGGACAGAGCTCGAAGAACAACATGAAGTAGCGGAGAGGGAAAAATCACAATCACAGTTGTTCACAATTACCCCCCAGCAGTGGCGGACGACACTTGTTCACAACCACACCGGCAACATTGAAGACAGTGGAGAAAGGAAGGAGAAGAAGACAGAGATGACGGAAAAGGAATGAGTTGTGAGCATGGCACACTAGTGACAGCAACAGCTACTGCAAAATGAGAAGGAAAGGGCGAAAGATGGAGAAAACTGATGACAGTAACAGCAACATCAAACGCACGAACAGAGAAGGAGGCGCGGGGAATTGAAGAGAGGCGAGGATTTCTAGCATACTTACCTCTCTGGCGATGACAGCAGAAGGAAGAGGGTGGCGAACTGAGATCGCAGGGCAGAGCATTTAGGATTTCTCATGAATAAAGTGTCGGGTCAGTGAGGAGGAAAAAAGAAAGAGGGAAAAATATATGATTGAGGTAGGGGTAATATGGTAATTTCACAAGACTGAAAGTAACAAAAAATAAAATAAAATTTCTCCTTCACCTCAAACGTTTGTGATGAAATCTTGGCTCAGTTACCTCTAAACCAACTTTCGCGCTTGATAAATTTGTACCAATATATATATATAATATTATTAAAATGCCTTATCATTTATTTTTGACCTAATTAATTTTTTTAGGTCATTGCACTAACTTATCTTGACACTTCACCAATCTTTGTGTAAGTCAACCAATACCACATCATGCATCATGTTATCACTTCATATCATGTCAGCCATCACCACATGTCACATCACATATTTATTATAAAATAGATTAAGGTTAAGATTTGATCACTTAATCTCCTATTGTTCAAATTTTAAGTCCTTCTTCTTTATTAATTAAATTAAAATTAAATATTTATATATATTATTTAACTATATGTTATATATAAAATAATGCATTATTAAAAAGATATACATATATTTTATTTTATTTTTAATTATTAATATGATAAAATTATTTATATCACTATTTATATTATATTTTAAATAAAATATTTTTTGTTAGGGAAATGAACTTAAAATGAAATAAATTAATATGAAAACATTATTTTTAAATGACTATAATTAATTATATAATTTATTTAAAAATATGTATCATGTTAGTTTATATTAAATATATTTTACTTTTATCTTCTCCATATTATTCTCAAAAATTAATAAATAAATGATAAAATTTTTACTTCTCCCAAAATGGTTAAATGTTTCCCATTCCTTTCTTACAAATAAATTTTATCAATAATTTTTTAATTATTTCTTAAAATTATTTTAACGGAAAAAATTTTAACCGTATACATTTTGTTAATTTTCATTTTAAACAATTTTGAATTTTTTAATGAATACTAATAATTTTTAAAATAAAAAATATTTAAATTAAATATATTTATATGAATTTTTATATTTAAAAATTATTTTTTATGAAATTTATTTAATATAAAAAAATTTAAAATTTTAAATCTTATAAATATGTTATATATATAGTGTATTCTATTTATAATAAATTAAATATTATTTTAGGTAGATTTTGACATAAAGTTTTTATCTGGTTCACTATTTTTTCTTTTTTTTTATCTCATATACATATTATCTTTTCTCCAATTAATTTATTTACTTTTGTGTTAATTTTGATAAATTTAGAATATAATTTCTGACCTGATTTACTAATCCTAAAAATGATTAAAGTTTTTTTTATTTTTAATTTCATCAAATTCTAATTTTTTTTACTAATATGTTCCTATAATTCTATTCCATTATTAGTTATATACTAGTCTAAAAATTCTATTCTTTCTTTTCTTAATTCAACTTTTTTAGGCGATATATTTAATCTTTTTTTTTATAAGATCTATAAATTTCTTTAAGTGTTTTTTATGTTCTTCTTTATCTTTTGAAAATATTAAATATTATCTATATATATATATGACAGTAAAATATTTTATTGGCAATAATAATTTTGTTATATATTCTTGAAATACACTAGGAGTATTATGAAATTCCATAAATAATACATTCCATTTATACAATCCTTTTGATGTACTAAAAGTAGTATTTTTTTACTTTGTTCTTCTAGTTTATTTAAAAAAATCCTGATTTACAATCAAATTTACTGAATATTTTTTTCTCTTATTAGATTAAACAATAAATCTATTTTTGGGATTGGATGTCTATTTTTTATTGCTAATCATTTATTTTTTTTATAGTTTATAACTAATCTTAATTTTTCTATTTTTTCTTTACTATGTTTTACTACAATCATAGCAAGTGATGAATATTTAAATCTACTTTCTCTTATTAAGTCATATTGTTTCATTTCATTTATATGGATCACAAATTCCTTTTTATCATTCTCTATCCATGGGTAAGATTTACAGTTTATTTCTCTACTATAATCTCTTAATTCTATTTTTGCTAAAGGCTTAGATTTTTGCCAATGAATTAAAGAATTATCGCTATAATTTTCTAATAATCTTTGTTCAATTATTTTAATTTCTTTTACAATATTTAGCATTTTTATTGAATCTATAAGATCATTATTATACAAAGGCTTTTTATTTGGTAAGAATTGTACTTCATATTCTTCTATTTTCTTTTAAAAATTTTCATCTCTTCTACTATAAGGCTTAGTAACTTTTACTCCCCATGCTTGATGTTTACAAAGAGTTGTTAGTATTATTGCTTTTTCAAATATATGTAAAGGATAATATTGTTCAATAAAGTCTATTCCTAATATTACATCACATGAATTATCATTATATTGGTTTAATTTTCTTATTTTTAATTCATATTCTCCTATTTGTACCATAATAACTCTTGCTTTTAATTCAACACAATTAATTTCTTGTCATACTCCTTGCATTCTTAATATTTTATTTTTCTTTTTTCATAATTTATCAGGTAATACATTTGCTTTTGCTACTGAGATATTTGCTCCTGTATCTACTAAGGCATGATATTTCTTGATCTATATTTTTGATAATTAAATTTTATTAATATATAATATAGTTTTGTCATATCAATTTTATTTTTTGAATTACTATTATTTGATGATTAATATTTATCATGATTCTTTCTTTTTGTATCCTCCATGGTTTTACTTATTCTAAGAAATTATTTCCTAAAATTATTTTACATTGATCATTATTATTATCTACTACCCAAAATTTTATAATTATAACATCTCTATTATTTATTCTTATAAATGAAATTATTTTATTTCCATCATTTGTTACTTCTAAATTGTTATTTGTTAAATTTAATTGTATTGTACTTTTTTCTTTTCTTGGATTTACTAACGCCATTGCTTCTATCTAATTTCCTTCTTGTTTTACTTCTATTAATATGTAATTATTGGTGTTTCAGGTTTTAATGATTCTAAGTTTGAATTTATTGAATTTTCACTTCTTGATCTTAACAATAATCTTTCTTGTCTAGATAATCCTCTACTTGTATTGGGTTTTGGTTCAAAACTAAAACTTTTTCTAGTAGGTTGATTTATATTTATATTTAATATTGGTGTACTTTCTTTTAATGCTCTTTGTCCTATGTTATCATTGGTTATTAATCTTTTTGTATTGTTTTCATTTTCATAATATCCAATAGTATTATCCAATTTTAATCTTAATTATTCAGATATTGTTATTTTTGTTAGATCTAATTCTATTTCTTGTAATACAAGCATAAAGTGTTGATCTATTATTAATTTACCTTTATTTCTTTTATAAATTTTATGTTCATTTGTAAATGCTAGTCCTATTATAGCAGTTATACTTATTGTTCTTGATCCTGATAATAATTTTATTCCTCCTAATTTATAATATATTAGTAGGGTTCTATTCATATTTTCATCAGCTCTTGAAATATAAAAGTTAGTATTTACTGTAAATTTTAACTTTTGATATATTAAATTTTTAGTTAATATTCCTAAAATACTATCTTCTACACTACTTATTATTCTTCCATCAGTTATTAATAATTTTATTGGTGAATTTTTTCCTTCTTAAAAATAAAATTTTACTAATAATTATACTCCAGTAATATATATTTTTGTTACTTCATCTTTAAATGATAACTTATTAATTTCAGCATCTATTAAAGTTTTACTTATTAATAGTATTCTTAATATTTCTTTTGTTAATGTTGATTCTATAGGGTGCTTTTTTTCTAATACTACACATACATATTTTTCTTGTTTTTTAGATTTTACAAGTCTTCTTACTCTATTCATAAAACTTTCATTTTTTAATTCTTCAAGTTTTAAATTTTAATTTTGAATCTCTTATTTTTTTATATTGTTTTTGATTAAAATTCTTTTTTTTAACTATTCCTTCTTCTACACTTACAACTTCTTCACATTCATCATATTCATTTTGTTAACTATTCTTAGGTTCATCTTCTAATCTATTCATCATATATATATAACTCATTTCTTCTTTTTCAAATTCATTACTTTCAATTTCAATTTCACTAATTATTTTTAATTTATAAATTTTTATATCTAAATTATTTAATTTATTTTTTATTTCAGATAGTTCTTCATCATATCCTATAGGTTCTAAATTTTCTCTTTATACTTCTTCTATTATTTTCATAATTTTTTTATCCTTTTTACTTGGACAATTTGGTGATATATGTCCTAATTCTCCACAATTATAACATTTACATTTCTTAGGTTTTTTATTATAATTTATTCTTCTTTTTTCCTTTTCTTTTAAAGAATTTTCTTGGTTTATATTTACCATATTTTTTATATAATATTTATCTTTTGAATATTTTCTAAATTTTATTTTTAATTTTCTTTTCTTCCTTTTTCTTTCATATTTTTTTGGTTTACATCTCCATTTATGTCCTTTCATTACTTTTTCACATCTTAATATCATTTTATTAGTTTTATAATATTTCATATTTTTCTATGTAGTTTTACATTTATCAGCTATATATTTTCTTAAAAATAATTCTCTTCTTCCCATAATATCTACCTTATTTAAAATATTTATTAGGCCTTGTCTTATATGGTCTATTATTTCATCTTCTTCTGAAATTACTTGATAAGTATTATAATAATCTTCTAATATTATGTCTGATAATAATTTTAGTAGTTTTCTATAAAACAAATCTAAATAAAATCTTTCTTCTTTTAAATCTTCTAATATTGCTTCATAATAATATTTTTTATATTTACATATAAAGACATTCAAATATTCTAGCTTTAATAAACATAATTCTATTTCATGTAATATTTTTATTGCATCTTTTTGTCTACTTATTTCATATATATCTTTAGCTAATCCTCCAAATTCATTTAATAATATTTTTTGATATTTATCTACTATAATTGCATAGTATTCTCTTCTATTATTATAGTTTTTATCTGGTTTTTTAAATTTTTCTCTAAA